TCACTATTATAAATGTTTCTCTTCAGGTAACAAAGAGCCCCAGAAGCAGAATACCAATCAGAATGCAAACCGGCACGTCCTGAAGCTGCCCCCGATCAAGACCCCCCAGGTTTTGCAGCCGAGGATCCAGTCTGCCAGCTCCACCTGCATCAGGGACCTGAAGAGCCGCGTGGTGGATCTGCAGCAGCAGCTGAGCGCAGCCCGGACGGAGACCCGGCTGCTGAAGAGCCTCCAGCACCGCCACACGGTGGCGCTGCAGCACTTCCAGGAGTCTGAGAGCAGCATCTCCCAGGTGGGGTGGTTTTTGTCCATTTTTGTATTGAATTTGTTTTAACCAACTTCTTATTAAACTTTCCAGTCATCTCAACAAGATGTCACAAACATATAGATACATATTATATTAGTGTAAATACAGAAAGAGGACATTAGCGACACCCATCCTGCCTTTCCACACAAATTGTAGATGTTGTTTGTTTTCAATTAGGAGTTCATCTCTTCACACAAATGTAATACAACAATTAATTATCCAAACTTGTTTTGATATATCCTTTGATCTTTGTACACGTAATTGCATTAGGTGGAAGTAGATCTTATAATGAAGTAAAAGTAATAATATGTCTGTGTAAAAATACAAGTAAAACTCCTGCATTCAAAATGTTACAAATTTCCAAATCTCCAATTAATGTAATGTTCTCTAGGGTTTCTCCCTTAGCATTGTTTACAGAGGGGATACAAGGTTCTGATATGAGTTGGAAGATATCCATTTTTTATAAATATAGTATGTGAGAGTTCCCACCTTGTGATGAGGATTTCTTTTTGGCAGCAGTTTAGCCAGCGAAAACATGGTATCTGAATTGAGAGAAGAATCAGCAACATGGTATCTGAATCCAAATACTTTTTTTATTTAAGCAGGAGAAGTTTCATTGAGATCTCTTATGCACGAGAGTCCTGCCCTAGATACAAGAACCTTAACAAGAACAGAGAACATATCAGAAACGCCACCATACATCATCTACAGACAGTCCTCTGCGGTCACTAAGAAGAGCTTTAAATCTGTTTCGAGGGACCAGCTCCCTGAGTTTCAGCTGGTTCAGAGCAAATGAAGCAACGTAACTGAATGCCCTTTTTCCAGCTCAGTGTGGACCTCATGGACAGTTAGTAAAAACAAGTTCTCTGAGTGAAGCCTATTTATACCTGTACATTTCAGCAGCAAGAATAGCCTTTTCAATAACATGATATCAGATACTACGTCAATCACTTGTCTCCAGAACTGTTTAACTGCAGTATATATTACCAACAAAAGAATGTCTACCTATGTACCAATATTCTTTTGATTACACAGAAGGATTATTGATCAGATTTGAATAATGAAAAACATGTGACCAAAACGTCTTATCCGTGCTCTTGGTAACATCCCCAGATCCTCGCCAAGCACAGCAACGAGGCCCGGGTCCTGCAGCAGCTGCTCAGTGAGACCCGCACCTGCCGGGACAGTCTGGCCCGGCAGCTCCAGAGCACAGAGATCAATCTGCGCAGCACCAAGGCCAGTCTGCAGCACCTGCAGCTGCTCAGCCAGGACCACAGCCTGCTGCCCAGAGAGGAGCTCTCCCTCAGGCTGGACAGGGCCTCTGCTCAGCTGGAGAGCAAGGACCGGAGGATACAGGTACGGAGGGGCAGGGGGCAGGGGGGGGGGGACAGATCAGAGGTCAGAACTGTAGTCCAGGGTCACTGCAGAGCTCCTGACAGCACCCATGATCACAGCTGTGGATTATATTTGAATACCTGGGAATGTAAATGGGAATCAATATGATTGTGCTGCAGCTGAAAGGCACTCTTCTCGCAAAAGTAAAAAAAGCTTTTAATCCTTGTACTTTTTATTTATTGACTTTGTAAGTACAACAAAGAGACAGGCCTTATCATATGACTTAAATCCAAGTGCAAAAGGAAAATAATGTACGCACATCATGCAAGTAAATCTTGTTCATTTGAACACTGAGTCCTGCACCATTCCCTGTATATTTTGCACATGTTCTGTTTACCTCCACCTTGCTTTAAATCTGCAAAGCTCTCAACATTTATTCTAGTGTTTGTGTATTTATATTTGTGTAAATATTTAAATGTTGTATTTGTTTTAATAGTTTTTATAATTTCTTTGCTCTTTCCTACAACATATTCCTCTCTTACTGTGTTAATGTATGCATTACTATAAACCAGAACAAATCTCTCGTAGGCTTAAACCTACTTTGCAATAAACCTGATTCTGAAATAAATAAATAATAGAAAATCCTTTAATACAATGGATATGTCATTGTGACATTTAAAAAAAAAAAAATCATTCTTGTCATGCCCTGGTTTTTGTTGTTTTCAGGACTTGGAGAAGAATCTTGAGTTGAGCCAGGCCTCATTTAACCGCCAAATATTCGCCGAACAAAGAAAGATCAACGAGGCGAAGAAGATTACCGGCTACCTGCAAGAGCAAATATATCACCTGAGCAAAGAGATCCAGGTAAGTGAAAAACAGCTGTCTCAACATTAGACATGTCCTACTGACTACTACAGATATCATTTGTTCCCTCTTTGCAGGATCGAGAGAGAGAACTGGAAACACACAATATTTACTCCCAAAGATTCCTGAAAGGATCTCCAAAAAAAGGTAAACAAACCCAACAAGCTGCTCTGACTGGTATTTACTTTGTTTAAGTTTAGACGTTTTTTCTCTAAGAGTCTTTTCTTTTTAGTAGGCAGCAAAAGTAAGATGGTTCAGACGGATCCATTAGTCTGTCTCTCCTCTGAAGCTGGGACTCTTTTGGAGTTAAAATATACAGAGAAGCAGGTACGACTCAAATCATGTATTTTCTGGATTTCTTTCACAACATTTGAAACGTTTTCCTGCATCGGCTCGAGTTAACTTGTTGATATAAGCTGAATGACCTTTCAAGATGTTTCCTTACTTCTGGAGACTTTTGTAATTTATGAATTTATTTTACTATCTTACAAATAGATTCTGTATACCTTTCAGCGTCCTTACAATCCAATAGGGGAGTCTTTGGCTATAGACAATCCAGAGACAGGTCTTTCTGCAGATCTCACGTTGGAAGAGAATCACCCAGAGCAAACTGAGACCTGTGCACGTGAGCAATTCATTCATGTTGAATATGCATCACAACAAACAATGCAAACATGCACATTTGTCCATCCATCTTCTACCGCTTATCTGGGGTCGGGTCACTGAGGAAGTAGTTCCAGCAGAGGGCGCCAAACGTCCCTTTCCCTGCCCACATCAACCAGCTCTGACTGGGGGATTCCAGGGTGCTCCCAGGCCAGCGTGGAGATAGAATCCCTCCACCTGGTCCTGGGTCTGCCCCTCTGTCTCCTCCCTGTGCCTGGAAGATCTCTCTAGGGAGGCTGCCATGTGGCCTCCTTACTAAATACCCAAACCACCTCAACTGGCTCCTTTCTACGTGAAGGAGCAGCCGCTCTACTCCGAGCCCTCCCAAGTCTCACCTTCCCCCTAAGGGAAGATGCCAGCCGGCCTCCGTAGTTAACCCATTACAGCCGCTTTGATCCGCAGTCTTTTAGTCATGACCTCCCCCCCCTTCATGACCATAGGTCAGGGTAGGAACAAACATGGACCGGTAGATTGAGAGCTTTGCTTTTTGGTTCAGCTGTTGGCGGTAAAGCTCCAACTGCTGTGATTCTCCGGCCCATCTCAAGCTCCATTATCCCCTCACTCAAGACACAAGACCCTGAGATACTTGGATTCCTTCACCTGAGGCAAGGACTCATTCCTTACTCGGAGTGGACAGTCCATCGGTTTCCCGTTGATAACCCTTGACAGAAACACATAGTGGTACTACCTCACAATCCACACTAAACAGCATTTTGTTATCTTTGATTATAGAACAGTCTTTTACAATTTAGTTTTGCTACTTTACTTCTTTCATCTCTGGCCTAACAACACTTTTGTGTTATCTTTGATCATAGAAAATCAAAAGTCAGAGTGTTCTGCAAATCTCACATTAGAGGAGAACCAACCAGAAGAATGTGCAGGTGAGTACTTCATTAATGTTAGCCAATAACCAATCAGAGCAGACTGAGCTCTGGTTTCAGACAGAGGGTCACAAGACGTGCTGTAGCACTCATTGAATCATGGGGGTTTTATTCAAATGTGTAGCATCTGTGGGCTTTTTCTAAATCTATTGAAAACTTGTGGTAAAAGTTGGGATTAGGTAGTCTTAAAAAGGGTTACAGATTTAGGTGATTTATATATTGTATGCTTTATGAATAGACAAACCCGGAAGACAACAGTTGCTTAGTTGACAAGACAACACAAAGGTCATTCAGTATTAATGAAAAATAAAGTCTAAAACCTATTTGTTGTTCAGATGAGCAGAGTAGTGCAGATAGGGGCAAAGAATATCTATCTGAGGGAGACTATGCTGAAGAAGAGGAGCCACCCGAGGCCTCAGCAGAGGAGCGGAAAACAGAGGAGACATCCTACATTCCGGAAAAATCTCTGAATGCTAATGGAGCTGACCGACAAGGATACACGCTCCCCAAAATCAGAAGCAGCTACACTTTTAAACAAACTATTGAGAACATGCACGTTGGAAAACCGGCCTACAGCATCTTCAGTGCCTATCAGAGCCCGATGAAGATGGAGACCCTCAGCGGCGAGGGGGGTCCTGAACTCTGTCTACCTGCTGGGAAATCCAGGAAGGGTGTAGCAGGCAGCCCTCAGGGCAAGTAGAGGGCAGTTTGAAACACAACGAGCAGGCTCATCAGGAGCACTTCAGTCCAGTCCTAAGCCGCTGATTCCGGGATTCAAAAATGTAAGAACCACTTAAACTGTACAGCTGGGAGTTTCCTCTATTGTGACATATTTTCTTCTACTGAAGTATTTCTCTGAATAAACGATTGTTTGACTCAAACCGTTCATTGATAGATCTGACCTGATTTGCTTTGGTGTCTCTAATTACTAGAAATAACAGTACAATGAATACAAGCTTTTCGTGTTTTATTTTTCTTAAAAAGGCATTAGCAAATCAATGTTTTTAAATAATACAGTCCAAACATCATCCAAAGGTCAAAATTCACCAAAATAATAGAGCAATATAAACCAGCCAGAACTTAAACGCACTGCATTTTAAAATGTTGACCTGGAGCAGCAGACAAAAAAAAAAAAGACATACAGAGGCTGTCTTCATCTACATCTTGAACGATATGTTAGGATGTCAGTGTTGTCACTCAGCTGACGGCGTGCAGACCCAGAGACACCACCTTGTTGCAGACCACCAGCCAGCAGGTGATCCCCACTCCACCTGAGGAGAGAGAAGAGCTCTGTCAGTCTGTGGATAGAGTGTTGGAATAAAGAAATGCATGATAAACTTGAAAGAGAAATCCAGTGTTTTTTTTACTTTATTAATACATGATTTCTGAATGATTGGCCTGAAGTCCAACGGATTTCCGACACTTAAAGGTGGGGTAGGTAATTCACTTCAGAAACACTTTTTGTTATATTCCATGGAATGCTCTTAACATCCCGATAGCAATGAACATATTAAATGCTTTGACAATGAATACATACAAAAACTTCATCTGTGGAAGCCGTGGCGCTGTAAAAAGCACGACCAATCATCTGAGCTAAAATAACTGGATGGCCTACCTGCCTGTCAGCCTTCCATCTGTGCACAAACTTATCTCGTGCCCTCATTGGTCATGTGCGCGTTCGTGTGTGTTGGAGGAGGGGCTCTGTAAGGAAGTCTGAAGGAAGGGGCAGATTTTTTTCGGCTGCGTACTTTCAAATTCTAGAGCACTCGAGCTGGTTTCTCCATTCTTACCTACCCTACCTTTAACTTAAGCGTTGACAAAGCCTCTGTATAATGTGAGCTACACATGGCATAGTATCTCTGCTGCTATCAGCCCTATCCATTCCTACAGTGGAGACCCTGTCCACTATCTCACACTCCTGTGACACTTCAACAAACTGGAGCATGGTTCAGCTAAAAGCCTTTCCTCTGTTTTCACCTCACCTAAAGAACTAGAGCATTGTGGGAGTTATGGTTGAGATATTTATGGTTATACTGATGTCCAGTGTTCTCCAGTCAGTGTAACACACGTCTCTTTAGCTGATTCCTTCCCTTTTTTGTCTTGTCACTGCCATGTGATTCATGATCAAAATCAGCGCTTGTA